CCTTAAAAGAGTAGGCTTTCTTTGTCTGCTTACAACTAATGCTTTCATGCCCAGTCCGCCAGTGGTGATGAACAAGCGGAATAATTACTAATGATGACTGTGTGAGTGAGTCAGTGAGTGAATAAATGAACAAAGGAATGAATAATTTAATAAACTTCTCTTATATCCCCACGTCGGCGTCTGTGGCTTAGGCGTTGAGAACGCGCTTCGTAATGCCGGGTTGCCGGATTCGATCTCATGTGCGGACGATCTTTCTTGCGTTGGTTTCGACAGTGGTACTGAGAGCTGACCGTTCATTAGCAATGGCAAACTACTGAACGTAAAATGTGCCTAGAAAAACCACAACAGCCAACAATGCTGGAGACAACGTCATTTAAAGGATAGGCAACTAACTTTAATATCCCCACATTTGCCCCTGCTCTTTTTCAGTAACCGACGAAGTGGTCACACACGGATGGCGTCAGACGAAGCCTGATTAAAGGTATTCTCTATATTTTTTTTAAAACATCATATGCCATCACAGGCAATACATCTCAAAAGATCAGCTACAAGATCAAGAGGGTGACCACGCAAAAATGTAGATCCAAAACATTAAAAACATTTTACACCTGCACGGCATGGCAATGAGCAGTGCCAGACAGCATACACTGGATCGCAGTTTGTTCCATCCCCAAAACGCTTAACTGCAGAAGTGGCTTATGATGATGATGATGATGATGAGTATGTAAGTTTCTTTGGGCGCTGAGTGTCGTTCAGATCCCCAGCTTGCTTCCAGCTAAATCAGTATCCGTAGGTACGGATACCCTATTCAGGTTTACTATGCATTTGATCCCACCGACCAGGCATTTTAAACCTTTTTTTTTTTAATCAAGTAGCGGAAGCATATGGCTTTAGATTTCACGTCTTTATGAAATTAGTTTACAGTTGCACAGGTGCTGCTGAATTTCTTTCGTCTCTGTTTGACTAATAATTTCTGCGCCCCCCCCCCCCCCTCCCCCACTGAATAGTTACTAATTTATAGATTTTCAAAGTTAGGCAGGATTTCAGGGACATACTATAGCACTAATTGTCCCACTTGAGTATAGGGTTCTTTGTGTAGCAGTTGCGTATGAGGAATATGATACTAGATTGTGAATACCTCCAGAGTATCTTAGCTCGAGATAAACATTGATCCCCGTAAACTAATCTAAGCAATCCAACTATCTCAAAAGCACTTTTTCCTAGTTTAGAACATCATTTTAACATGTACTCTTTGCTGAAGACTGCAGACGTAACCACACATCTCTCACTTGCTAATCATAATATCAAGTGGTCTTCCGTTAGGCCAGGGCGCTTTACATTTTTGCTACAAAATGTCAAATAGGTATGTATCTATACGGTTATGCATGCATGGCTATGTGTGGAAGGGAGTGCAAACATGTAATATTGTGTGAGTGTATGGATGCTTGGTTGTATGTATACATTCACTTGATGGTGTACATACATATACCCTGGGAATTCATACTTATAAGCATAACATAAACATGACTGGTGGGACTCACAATAGGATAAGACTGACAGCAAAAAGGGAAGACAAACGGATAGATAATGACAGGACCAGAGCACCTAACCACCCATTCCACCCCCTCCCCCAATGGTAATATGGTATAGACTGGTGACGAGGTGCGTATTCCAGGGATTTACGTACACCAGAGCCTAGCTACCAACCCAAACAGACACAGTCGGACCACACTAAAACAATTGACCGATAGAGTCATTGCAAGGCTCCACCTAACATTCTACACACATCTCCATAACATGATTAACCCGTTCTTATTGCAGGAAAACAATCTAAGACCGCTGTGGTCACACGCGGAATATTTTCACATTTCAGGTCTATCCATATTCAAAAACTGTTTTCAGTGCTTTTCAGCAAAGTAAAATACTCAAAATTTTAAAACTAAAAATGATGGCCGTCTGACGTGGAGGAAAGAAGCATTGAGCCCGGAGACGGCGCAAATACTAGAACTTTAGCCACGAAAGTGCCGCACATAAACAAGACCACCAATATAGCCTGAGAATGTTGGCAGCTTTGGCTACCTAGCAGCAGGTTGAACGTGGTTGAGTTTTTGACTTTTTCTCAACAGGAATTGGAACTGGAATGCTGCTTGTTTGGATTCAAATGGTTATGTCGCCAACATCACGCAGACGGATTTATTTCTAACGACATCTGGATCCCAATATCAGCTTGCAGACTTGGGAGCCCATATTATGTTCCCCACAACCCCACGTTGACATTCGAACCTAAGACGTTAGAAGCAACTGGCGAGCGACTAGCCACTACGCTTCAGCTGCTCTTCAATATTTCCTTGCCGATGTGTTAATTAATATCTCGAAGCATTTTGTGACAACACTGCCTCGGTCACGGCACGTGCAGGTGATTGCATGCAGACTTTGCACACGTGCACAGGTTTAAGTCTGTACTACACCATGTACAGCAAACCAATACGGGCGGGGAGTTGCCTCATGCGTGTATGAAAATGAACAGTATCGAATTACCGTCTAATCTGAGACATAACTGGCTATCTGCAGAGCGATATGGAGCCTATTCTACTCATCTGATATTCCTCGGCGGTGGCGTGTTTGCCAGTTCACTTGCTTGTCATGACAGTGGTTCCAGTTCTTCTTCTTCTTCTTTTTCCTCTTCTTGTTCTTCTTCTTCTTCTTCTTCTTCTTCTTCTTCTTCTTCTTCTTCTTCTTCTTCTTCTTCTTCTTCTTCTTCTTCTTAACGTTAATCGGCTGCTGTAAACTCTGATGCAACGTTTTGGTTGTTCGTCAACTTCTGGACTTTATCTTGCTCCAGAATTTGAATTTAGCCTGCAAATCCGTTTTACACTCCTAGCTTACTTGTATGCTTTTGGCTCCTCGCCTACCAGGCAGATTCGCTCCTACTTCGAAGGGAAAATACCTAATTAGTTTTCCTATACGACATACTTCTTAAGGAGCGCTTCGCCCCCATCTTGAGCAGCAAGCGAAGAGTTCCAAGTCCGACGGCACCAGTAACTCCGACTGTATATCCGCCGTCTCACCTTTCTCCTGAGCGTTGCTTGTGAACTAGATCCCACTGGTTAATCCTCGCAGCACCATTTTTCTCAGACCGTGATCAGAGTTGCCATATTGGCATTTTTTATGCCAGATTCTACAAATTTGGCATATTTGAAATGTAACTGGCGTAAGATAATGAACTGGCATATTCTGGCATATTTGGGTTTTCCCTGGCAATGTCGACCTGCAGTTAACATTTTTATTTCAGTTTGACTTTGTTGTGATGTCCTGGCACGAACTAATGTATATTCGCGCCATTTCTTATTGTATTTGTTGTTCTTCCTAAACAGATCGTGACTTCGATAAACCAAGGCCCTCTGTAATTTATGTTAATCAACTAGAATAAAGGCGGGATATAAAACCAAAACCCACCACTGATATCAAGTGATTCAGACTGCATAGAAACTACTTGAGGAAGAAAAAAAAACCAGATAGGATTTAGACCTGTTTCTATCTGTGATCGATTTTATTACTTTTACCAATGACCACGTCATTCGAAAAATGGAAAGCATCTTATGGCATTGCAAGTATAATAGTAACTGGAAGAAAACATACCCACGGCTCAAAAGATCTTTAGACGGATCAGAGGCAGCATTTTGTAAACTGTGTTTGTGCACTTATGCACCAAGAATTAGTAGCATATCAAATTATGAAAAATCCGAAAAACACAAGATGAAAACTCCGTCAAAAAGCCAGTCACAGCTTATTACAACAATGACTCCTAGGCAAAGTAATGATAAAGTTAAAGACAGCAGTGTTAAAACTTGCTGTAGGCATGACCTGCCATTTGGGCAGTACGCACAAATGATCATCTAAGTGAAATCATGAGAGCGCATGGTCGGGGGAGTACATTGGAGCACATACAGTTGCATGGAACTAAATGTTTGTGCCTAATAAAAAAATATTATATCGCCTGCACTGAAGGATGACCTTATTGATGATTTTCGGAACAAGAAATATGCCATCATTATAGATGAGTTGCAAAGACTTAATCCCATCTGAGAAAATGCTTAAAGATTTTACATTCAAAAAGGTTTACACTGTATCTTCCACTGATTCCAGTGAGGATGACAGTGAAGAATTCAATCTAGAGCTTTTGATGTGAAGTGAGTACAATGTTACACTTTATTTGGCATTTTCTGGCATATTTTGGGTAATGGTTTGGCATAAAATGAAGTCTTCTATCTGGCAACCCTGACCGTGATGATCCATCTCTGCCTTCGCACAATTCACTTGCTCCCACACGGACTTAATCTTTTCATGCATCAGTTAACAACCAGGTTGTGCAGAATCAGCTAGTCTATCTGCCAGTTTCCCAATCCACCGGCATTACCTGGATAAAACATCTAAAGGACGCTAACTGCCAGGGACCTCTGATGCAATGCTTGCCAATGTTCACAAGGCATTCCTGTCTCCAATTTTCTCAATATGATCTGTGAATCAGTTATAATTACGGCATGTGTGTTTAGCTGATCACCAAGCCAGCGGAATGCTGCAATAACTGCCTGCATCTCCATTCACAAACTAGATGTTGTGGAGTCATTTGTCAGATTTTGTCCTCACCAAGCATGGAGAGAGAGAGAGAGAGAGAGAGAGAGAGAGAGAGAGAGAGAGAGAGAGAGAGAGAGAGAGAGAGAGAGAGAGAGAGAGAGAGAGAGAGAGATCTGTGTTTGTCAATGAAAAAGAATTCAGTTTTTGTTAATGTTTCTTTGTATATTTATGTGACTTTAGTAGCGGACTAGAGGAGATTTTGTGAAACATGCCAGGCAATAAATTGTGCAAAGTGCTGTTTGTGTCTGCATTATTAAAAATATATATTACCCATTCATTAATTTGCCTAGTCGACTCCATAACTTTAGTCAGACCAACTGATAACACACTGCTTCTAATCCAATAATGTATTCATTTGTCGCCAGGGCAGTAGGCAGTCCACTGATCGTGGATTCGAACACGATATGCAAAAACACCAAGCTGCTTGCCGGCAGGCAAAAGACCATATGTAAACACGAACCAGAGGTGGTGGCCGAGGTAGCTAGAGGAGCCAGAGTAGCCTTGTTGGAGTGTCAGTATCAGTTCAGAAACAGACGTTGGAATTGCACGTCTGCGTCCCGATCTCTTTCTAGGATTCTCAAAACTAGTAAGTGCTTGGAGTATTTTCTTTTGTATATTTGTATTGGCAACTATGAACCTCTTTTAACTACAGTGACAAGGCGAAAAGTGCAATGGTATGGACATGTAATAAAATCTAACAGCCTCTCAAAAACAGTAATGCAGGGCTCAGTGGAGAAGAGGCAGACCAAAAAAGACCTGGTTACAGAGCCTGACTGACTGGACAGACCTCAGGCATACAACCATGAAGTCCATCGCAACTGACCGCCAAAGGTGAAGAGAGCTGATCAGACAGTCAACAGAAACTGGTGACTGAACGACACGTAGTGTTACGGGCTGATCTTCTTCTTCTTCGATCCTTCTGTCAGAAAACTTATATCAGGAGGCCGGTAGCCTTTATGAAAGCTATCGTGCAATCGTGCAATCCATGGATCCTCTCTTGTACCGCATACAGTTTTTGACTAACTAACTAACATTTTGTGGTTGGAACAGGCCAGATTGCGTCTCTGTTGTCAGCATACAGTTGACAGTGTTGGAGCACATGCTCAGCATTTTCGGGTGCCACGCTGCAGGGACACGTCTCCGTATTTCCTACACCGAAAAATGTGAACATATATTGACGAAATCTGTTGTGCCCTGTCCTTAGTCTGAATATAATAGACTGTCCCTCTCTAGAAAGGCGATGAAGTGAGTCTTGGGGAGAAAATCTGGTGTGGGTATCCAGCCACCTTTCTTGGATACTAGATTGTATTAATGTTTTCATCTCTTGGTGGGTTAAGTCGCTATTTGGTTGTACCATGTCACTGCCGCTTCTGGCCAATGATGATGATGATATTTGTATATGGCAGGTAAGGTGCACAAAGAAAACACCAGGGATTAAGTCACGGAAAACTTATAAATAATAATAACAGCAACAATAACAACAACAATATTATTCAGCCAACCACCAATCCATCTTTTAATAGATAAATTAACAGGTAGGCCAGTGTTTCCTAAACTGTTCTTAGTCGTAACGCCTTTTTTTCAATCAAAATTGTTCCACGTCACCCTAACCTAATGTACTAGGACCGAGAAGCCCTAAGTACCAAGAAAAAAAATAAAGGAAAATAGTTCGTTAGGTGGGGACTAGAAACAGGAATATTCTAGTCCAGACACGAGATCTTCTATGTAAAGTCTAATAAGCCAGGCAACAAATAAATAAACTACACACACTAACCACAAGCCCTAATCTGAAGCAAAGCAACTGGAACTATAATTATCACATTTACATCTATTTATTTCACTGAACATCATCTAAGGTCTTCACAAATAATAATGCATTAAAATTCACAACGGGTTAGAAAATACTCTACAACAGATGGAACCTATCTTTGCCTACATATCCCAACCCACGTTGCGTAAAACTATTGAACGCAACGGACAAATCAGAAGTACATGTTTCTCGTTCGAACACTAGAGGTCTAAGAGGGCGAACTGGTCACTCCCGTCTGTTTAATCACTTCCTGACCCCCAAGTTGGCCAGGTTTTTAGCTCGCTTAAATAAGCCTAATTCAAATTATATAACAGGCGTACAGCGCCTGTTTCACTAAGTAAAAGAATGACTATTCGTATGTAAAAGTGTGTAACTTCGAATATTTCGCGCGCGCTTCTGTGAAGAGTTCGCTACTCCTTGGGGCGCCGCGGCACAGTTTGGGGATCACCGTGGTAGGCAACGAAGTAATGAGATTTTATGTAACTTCATACCACGATTCGCACTGAATATCTCATCGTGAAATGGAAAATGTTTACTCAGAAACTGCCCAGACTCCACAACATGATTTAACATGATACGTTGTTTTCATAATGAGTTCAGACAAAATAACCTAATGTAAATGACGTCTGGTTACTAATAATGAGTTCGAACTAAATAACTTGATGTAACGTGACATTGTATACGAAAAATGAGTTCGAACTAAATAACTTGATGTAACGTGACATGTGTATACGAATAATGTGTTCAAACTAAATAACTTGATGTAACGTGACATTTGTATACGAATAATGAGTTCGAACTAAAAAAAAACTTGATGTAACGTGACATTTGTATACGAATAATGAGTTCGAACTAAATAACTTGATGTAACGTGACATTGTATGCGAATAATGAGTTCTAACTAAATAACTTGATGTAACGTGACATTGGTATGCGAATAATGAGTTTGAACTAAATAATTTTATGTTACGTGACATTTGTGTACGAAAAATGAGTTCAAACTAAATAACTTGATGTAAAGTGACATTTGTATACAAATAATGAGTGCGAACTGAACCTCCCTGTTCTGTTGCCTAAGGAAGTGATGAACATAAAATGGGACTAATTAAACAAAAGAAATGAGAGAAATAAATGTGACGATAACTGCTTCTTTTGTTACAAGAAAAAGACGATAGTATTATCTTCTGCACATCATGCGGAGCAGTGGAGGGAGAATCACTCAATAGGCTCTGGCGCTAACACGACTGCGTGACCAAGGACTTGACCTTGGCGAAGCACATCTGTGTCGTCTTCGAGGTAACGACAGGCGATAACATAACCAACTCCTCATGGGAACAATCAGTAGAGAGGTACGTTGGAGAAGCTGCTGCATCTGAGGACTGAGCACGCATGGGGATGCCCAGTGTGCAAAGACGTCGATTGCGATAACATAACATAACAGGCACTGAAATGGAAACTAACTGAACAAAAACTATAGCTAGAATGCTCAGCAAAAAAAGGATGGAAAACACAAAAGGGACAATAAGGTGTTTCGGCCAAAGCCTTTATCAACAAGAGACACAACAAAAATGTAGAAATTCTCGGCAACAGACCTAACGCCTGTGTGTGGCTGCTGGAGCCTGGCACCATAGGTTGCAGATATTTATATTAACGAAGCATGTGTCGAATAACAATCACAGTAACAATTTACGAACACAGTAGACCCTAATGCTTTGTCTAGACTACACATCTATATAACTTGTACAGTCGCCGCATTCACAGTCCATTGCACAAGAAAAACGAATTATTTTACCATTTGTTTTTGGTAGGCATTTTAAGCTGTGAGGCCCTGAGCAAAAATGAATAATAAAAATAAACTAAAGGACCATTTCCACATCTTCAGGTGTATTGGGCACATAGGGCTAGGCCTATAATTTACAGACTAATCGACACTCAAGGGGTGATTTGGTCAGTATCACACCGACTGCCTTCACTTCCCAAGCCCTTACCTAGTACCCATTCAAGGCTGGGTCGATCTGGGAACAGAAGTCATTTTAAAAAAAGTTTCAGTTCCTTCAGGACCTGAAGCCACGACCTTCTGATTCTAGAGTACACGATGGCGGCTTTTAATAATACACACGCACGCGCACAGACAAACACAAACACACACCCACACACACACAGTATATGGTTATTTAGTAATGTCTCCTCTATAATCTATTTAGTATGACTTACGGACTAATCACGAATTTTATTTTGATGTCTTACATTTCAGATAATTATTATTTTGTGTGTATGTGTGTGGCCTAAACGTTTGAATATTCTTCGCTCTACAGTACATCGCCTCTCTCTCTCTCTCTCTCTCTCTCTCTCTCTCTCTCTCTCTCTCTCTCTGTATGTGTGTTTGTGCGTTCCCCCCCCCCACTGTCTCTCTCTCTCTCTCTGTCTCTCTCTCTGTCTCTCTGGGTGTGTATGTAAAAAATACTGATTTTGTATATATATATATATATATATATATATATATATATATATATATATATATATATAATTATGGTATTAAATGTACTTTTATATCGGCCGGCGTGATGCTGACCACATCACCCATCTTGTGCCGATTGGTGTATAAAAATATGGGTCTAGCTCTAAATGCCGTATACGCCTAAAGGCGTGGAAAAGGGACCTACACTCTCTTTCTGTACTTTTATATGACCTAACAAAGCCGAAGGGTTGCGATATCCACAGTACCAAGCCAAAAGAGTTTACAACTCATGGTTTCTGGATTTATTTTTTAAAAAAAATGACCTATAAGATGAAACATAACTTCGTTGTTTAATTTTACAAGGGGAAACATTCTTTTACTTAAAAAATGTCCGCTTTTCGCATACAAATAGAACCATAATTTACTGTGTGTCTGGAAATGAATTAGATAACACGCTTCACTCAGTGAGAGTGAGTGAGTGAGTGAGTGAGAGAGAGAGAGAGAGAAAGAGAGAGAGAGAGAGAAAATGGTAAATAAGCCATAAATAGTAAATACGCAATAAATTAGAAGCTAAATGGTGGCCATGTTTACTTAGCGGCCACACATACGTTACCCATGCAGAGCAGTGTTGCCACTTTTCTTTGACAAAAAAACATCCAAAACGCAGTCACAAAATATCTAAAAACATCTACATTTGCGTGGAAAACATCTAGAAAAAAATCTACCATATAAACGTCAAAAACGCCATCTAAATGCAAGGGAAAACATCTAAATCTGGATGTAAAACATCCAAAGTGGCAACACCTGATGCAGATACAGACGAGACAGCACTGACGAAACACAGAAGTCTCTATAGCAAGTGGGTTATTTTCCAGATTTTTATGTTCACCGGGGCGATCCGGTGAGTCATCATGAGAACAATCGAGCGGCGTGGTAATTGAGCAGCCTGATAGACTAGCTGCTGCAGTTCTTATATGCAGCAAGATTAACCCACCCACAATACAGGCTACTTCATAGTCTTTCTTCTTCTTCACTTCCTTTTTTACCGCTGTGGGTGTCGAGGGAGATATAAGGTTCTGTTTCTGGCTCTTCTGGCCGCCTCGACCATAGGCACATCGTGCTGTTGTAGAGCTTCTCTGATGTTATCCTTCCATCGTGTTCTTGGTCTACCTCTTGCTCTACGTCCTTCTTCTCTTTCCATGTATGCTTTGTATGGTATGGTGTCACAAGGCATTTTTCTAAGTGGGCAAACCATTTCATTTGCTGTCATAGTCACCCACCCCAAAGTAACATAGTTATTTTGTTAAACTGGCTATCT